AAAGCAGAACAGGTGGCCTGTTGTGGACCTTCAAACTACTATGTCTGTCGGCCCTCCTCCACATCCCTGGGCTTGCAGGGCAGGCCCTGCGTCTCACAGGGATGCCTCTATCCCTAGCCCAGATGGTTGGAGTCAAGTTCTGTAGAGGACCACAATGAATATTCCTGGAAGGTGTCAAGACAGACCTGGTTACAGAAAGAACCATTTGTGGTTCAGTGCTTTTTGTTTTTGTCTTGGAATTCCAGCTCATGTCTAAGGGAAAGTTTGGACTCTAGATCTGGTGGGCAAATCTCTTGGGGATTTGATTCATGGTCTTGTTCCCCTCTGCTCAGGCTATCAACTCTTGAGCAAAACAGTTCCATCACCTGTTCCCCCCACCCACGGTGAAGCACAGAGTGATGAAGCGACCTGACCCATTGCATAGGTGGTTTCAAGTCCACTGAGGTCAGACTGTTCAGCTCTTAGAGGGAAAAGTAGACATGCTGTGTCCATTCTGCTCCCTCTGAAGTTGTTCACATGCTGTTCGGACCAGGCAGCGCCGCTCCCTGGTTTCTTAGTTCAGCAGAGCTGCATTGAGGATAGTCACTGACCTTCTGGCCCAGGTTGCACCATGGCATTGTGCAGGAACCCTGGTGATCGAGGACAGAGACAGTGGATGTGCATGCGTGTCTGCCTCCTGGCACCCCACTTCCTCAGGCAGAGTGGTGTGGACAGTGCCCTGTGACCCAGTCTCTGTGCCTCAGTTTCTTTACTAAAAGAGGGAATAACAATGGCAACCTTGCTAGGATTCTGTTAGAAAGTGTCTCCCAGGTGCCTACACAGACATGCTGGGTGCGCCGGCTCTTAGCCCACGGACCTGCCCTGCCTGCCTGAGCCATGCTAATACCAGGAGCTGGGTGGGGTCAAAGCTACAGACTGGACCCTGTAGCTGTCCTGTGTAGCAAAGAATAACCAATACCCAAGGCTAGGGGTCAGAAGATGCTGTCCTCTACCCTTGCATTTGGGATACCTAGCACTTGTCCCTCGCCAGGCCAGGAATGTAAGAGGAAACCACTCAGCAGGCTGCTATGTGCCCTTTGCCAAAGACAAGCATGGCAGACCTGTGGGTGCTGCTCTCTTTGTGTTGAGATTGTCTTGCTGGCTTCCTGTGACTGGTGAGCAGGCTTTGACAGTGGGACCCTATACCCAGCTCTTCTTGTCATGTAGTAAGCAGGAAGCCTGCCTTCCTCTGCCAGGCCCTGTGATCCAGGGACAGGAAGGAGTAACCTTCATCCAAACTGACCCTCTGCCCCAGGTGTGCAGAGATGGCATCTGCCAACTCGACTTGCCCTCAACAGCCATGGAAGGAACCTGAGCAGGGTCAGGGAAGGGTGAGCAGCCTCCCTGCCCCTGGAGCTGGACATCACACCTGGTCCGCATAAGAACAAGTATAATGGGGCGGCGCCTGTGACTCAGAGGAGTAGGGTGCTGACCCCATATGCCGGAGGTGGTGGGTTCAAGCCCAGCCCTGGCCAAAAACTGCAAAAAAACACAGCGGAAAAAAGAATAAGTATCAAGTTGTAGAGTCACCCCTTACCCCAGGCTGGGCCAGAAAAAGCCCCTGGAGTACATCTCCAGGAAACTCAAATCTGTCTGCTTCCCTGACCACCAGCCCCAGCCCAGGTGTGTGAGCCTCCTGCAGGACCACCTCGCTGTTACACCATGCCACTCTGCCACCAGCCCCAAATGTAATTTGCAAGCCTCCCTGCAGCTGTCTCTTTACTTCAGAAGTTCCTGTCACATTTGGAATGAAGTCCAGATTCCTAACCTTGACCCAAAAGCCTGTGGAAGTCTCAAGCAAGGGTCTCCAGGCTCCTGGTCTCCTTCAGTGCCACAGGGGCCAGGCTTCTTCCCTCTGGGTTTTTTCACTTTGCCTGCCCACCTTCTCATGACAGGCTCCATCTCATCCTCTAGGTCTCACCTTAAATGTCACTTCTTCGAAGAAGGTATCCCTTTCTAAATCTCTAAATTGCCCCTCTCTTCCCCCTTTGTAGCCAATTTCTGGCATCCCCACAACTTCAGCTTGCTCACTTGATCACTACCTGTCTCTCCACCACACTGGGCTCCAGACTTCTGAGGGGAGGAACTGTGTCTCTTTTTTGTACTATGTTGGCCTGGCCTCGAGCAGGACTGAGAGTGGGTTAGGGGATGAATACCAGAGCCAGAGAAAGGACCCTTGGACCCCAATTGCAATGCTCTTAAGTTAGTACAGATTCAGAATTAGATTTCCCTCCACACCTGCCCTCTCCAGGTGGGAATTATGTGTCTGTTTTACAGGGGAGGAAATGGGTTCTGGGAGAATCCTGGCTAGGTCTGGTGGTATTGTAGTGATGGACTCTTGCTGCAGTTGGGAAGGGCAGGAGTCTGGTGTGGAACGATGCAGGACAGAGTCCCAGGTTCGGCCCATGGGAGTATAAAGAGGTATAGCCACAAGGCCAAGGGACAGTGAAGACTGAAGCCCTGCACTCCCTGCACTCAGGCTGCCCCAGCATCCAGACACCTTTGTTCAGAGGGAGCAACTGGTCTTCAGCACAGGATGGCAGGTCTTATGCTCTACTTGACAGCTGCCACTGTGGCTCAGTGTCTGGGGCACAACCTTCTCGTGTCAGCCACCCCGAACCAGCCATGTGGCTTTGAGCTACAAATATTATCTCCTCAAGCTTCAGCTTTTCATCTTGCAAATAGGGATCAGGGTCTCAGTGCTCTTACAGAATACTGGCTGTAAAGTTTCTGATAGTGCCTGGCACATAACCAGTGCTTGGAGAATTTTCTTTCCTTCCTATTTCTCCTACTGAAGGAAGAGTTTTTAAAAGTAATACTTGGGAAGGTAGGGAGGGTCCCATCACATTTCAGGACACAGTGTGTTTGGGCCAGCCCCAACCTAGTCATCCAGTCATCAGACCCTGGGGAAAGCTCCCCATTGGAAGGCTGGAGGGCAGAGCCCAGGCCAGGGGTACCTGGGTCATATGGTACTCCCAGGAGGGGCCCGTGGCCAGCAGCATGAACCACCTGGCCAGGCAGACCCTGAGTGCTGAGGCTTCATCCTGAGGTGGAGGGCTAGGGCAAGCCTGCTATTCTGAATAATGAGCATGACTAGGGTGCAGTGCAAACCCTGCTCTGTCCTTCCCTCCATGAACAGAGCCTGGCTACAGTGCACATGGGCATCTGACTCAGTTCACACAGACATCCCAGCAAGATGATGCCACCCTGGTCATCACGTTTATAGAGGCCCATTGGTTCCTGGGGAGGGCATCAGAGAAGGCATAAGGACAGATGTTCAGTGCTGTTTCTCACTTTCCCAGCAGCCTTAGCCTCAGGAAACCCAGAGGGAGGCAGTGGAGAATCCCTGTGCCACCAAGGAAGAGAAAACATGCATTATGGGCGGAGCAACATCCAGGGCCCACAGCTACCTTCAGGACTAGGGAAGCCACTCGATAGCTGAGGCCATTCTGAGAATGACAGGATGGCTCAGTCATGGGGCCTGCCTTCACATGTGCCTGGTGACAGTGTGCTGTTCCTGTGGTGTGTCTTCCTGCTTGTTGGCATTTTCTGCCAAGTAGTCAGGAACCCCCTAGGCCAAGGGTGTCTGTGCATGTGTGCTTGGGAACAGCACATTCTTAGCTTCACGGGCCCCAGACTTCTTACCTGGTCTGCACATGAGTGAGTTTCATGAAAGGAGAAAGACTGGTGGTGCCTCGCTCCCCAGTGTTAGTTGGCAGAGGTCACAAACAGGGTTTGAGGTGGCAGAAGGGTAAGCTCCAGCGATAGTCTCATGACCACTGTGATTGACAGAAACAAGTGAGGAGGGGCCAGGCTGCCACCCTTCTTGGCTCCTGGTATAATTTTTTTTCTAGACTGAATTCCTTGGAAATTACTATGTCTCTCTGAGACCTTTGTGCATGGAATGGCCTGTGGAGCATTCCAAAGAGGCCCTTGGGTCAACCCATCTCCCTTACATGGGGCGTTGGAGTCACCTTCCTGCACCTGGGCTGGAAAAAAAGAAAAGCCCAGCAGCTGGGGGTGGGTGACCCCAGGCTCCTGAGGTGCAGGAGGGTTAACATCCAATGGATCTGTGTTAGCCTGGGGCAGGCCCTGAGACTGGGGGGCGGGGACACTTTTCTTTGCTAAGTATAAAGACCTGGCTTTGTCACCTAGAGACAGCTGTGAAATTGCCCTGGGAGGCTGAACTTTGAGAAGGTCCTTCCATGCATTAGCTGGGTGCTCTCAGCCACCTCTGAGGACCAAGCCCTGCCCCCAGGTGCTGAACTACAACTGCAGGGGTTCTGAGCACTGCTCGCCTTGCTCAGGTGAAGCTCCATGAGCTTCTGCACTGGAGCGGCCCACCGTGAGTGCAGGGCATCTTCTCCTGGTCCTTCTGCATACTGGGAAGGCAGACATGCCCTGGGGAGCCCTCAAGAGTTCAGCCCCAGCACCCCTGACTAAGGTCATTGCTGCCTTTAGACACGTTCCAGGTCCAAAGCCACATGGTGGCACCAGCATTTGTTTTCACGTGTCCCTCCTCAGCAGCACATCCAGAGAGGGTCTGAGAGCAGGGTCCCTGCTGAAAGCCCCCTCCATCCCAGGGGTGCCGTGGAGTGGGCTGTTGGCGGCAGAGCATGTGGCAGTTCCTGGCCCTTAGTGCCTGTTCTTTGTCTTCCAGGTGAGACTGTGGAGATGAAAAGATGGTGGACACCTGAGTTGGAAACGGTCCTACCTGCAGCCCCGCCCTGCCCCGCCCCACGTGCCCACTCATGCCAGCACTTCTTCCTAAGCTCTCACATCACACTCAAACCAGTGACACCACAGGAAAGAAAGACCCAAGATGTCGTTGTCGAATGGCTGTTTCCATGGACACAATCTCCATAGTGACAATGTGGGGGGAGGGGGGAGGTGTGGGAGGATGGGGATGGGTGGGGGAATTAAAAGGGAGGGATAAAAATATATATATATATATAAATCTATTTTTAGTCTGGAAAGACTTTGTTTAAATGAAAGGTGCGCTATCCCTTTTGATTCTATTTTAAAATTATCTAGTTAAAGAATTCCAAATTTGTTCCAATGACAGTGAAAATCAAATGTGAAATTGAAGTGAACAAACCCTCATCTCATGAAGGACAGGGTGTGTGTGGCTTTGATCTTCAGCCTGTTGCTCACCAATTCGAGAACACTAGACCCAGGATTGAAAGAGCAGGCAAACCACACCTGAACCATCCTTTTGTCATTAATTTGTCTCCAAGTGGGAAGGTTTTGGGGGGAGGGAAGAGGGAATGGTCCATGTTTTCAAGAGTGGGGGAATGATGTCTAAACACAAAAATAAATTTTTCATTTCCAGAAACACTATTTATTTTTTTTTAATTTTTATCTTTTTTTGTGGGGGGTAAAACTGTCAGATGTCTGAGGTTGTAACTATGTCCTGGGTCCCTGTAGTTGGAAAGGATCTGAAGCCCCCCCCCCGCCCCAAGTGTACACAACGACCTTGGAGCAGCAGGCAGAATTAAGGGGTGACCTGTGCTGGGGCCCTCTGGGCCCTTTGTCCTCAGCACATTCCAGGCAGCTGTGCCCTGACCACAGGGACCCACAGGGACAGGAGGAAGCCCAGGCCTCTGCTGCCAGCACAGGCAGTGAGAGCTGTGGGCAGTGACAGGGAGGGATTGTCGGTGTGATCAGTGTGCATTAAACGGACGAGGAGCACTCACTTAACTCTTTTCTTTTTGCTTTTATTTTTATAAAGGAAAAGGAGGTCTGTCAGATAGGCAGCCCTGTGCTACATGATTCTTTATGTTGTGTTGTATTGTTTTGTTTTGTAAAATGTATAATTTTTAAATATCTGAGTTCTAAAAAAAAGAAAAAAGTACAAAAAAATCTTGTTAAGGCCTTAAGAAGGGGTTAGTGCATCTTTCGGGGTCACTCTGCCATGGGGATAAACTAGCTGTTTCACAAACAGTTTTATTTAAAAAAACAAAAAAAAAAATCAAAAAAATAATAAACTTCATTTTAACCTTGTTTCCTTTTTTGTGTAATATAAAGTGAATGTGTCTCTTCATTCTCCCATTCCAACCCTAGAAGGTGCTTTGGTTCTGCAGAGGAGGCCACCCTCAGCCTAGTCTGTCCCTCCCTGGCCACCCACCATGGGCCTGTGCAGCAGAGCTTTGAACCAAACAAAACCCAGGCTCCTGCCTGCCACTCATGGGGTGGGGGAGCTCACCAGTGTGTGGAGAAGTCAGATCTAGTAAGTTGATGTGAGGACATACTTCCAATCAACATTAATTTTAAAAGTTATTAAGAAATAATGCATTGTTAATGGACTTCTTTAGCTTCAGAGGACAGAAACACTGGAAGGAATGTTGTGAAGTAGAAGTAAGCAATTATAAATGAATTTTTGTGTGATCATCAGTCTGGGGCTGCCGAGATGGCAGATTAATTTCACTTTAATGGCTGCAGCAAGTATTGCCATCCGTCTCTCTCTACGCTGTGCCAGGATGAGGTGTGGGTGAGCATGCTGCTGGCCGTAGGACCTGCGGAGAAAAGGGCTTTTGGAGCTGGTTGGCTTCCTATTCTGCTCTTGACATGGCATTCAAAGTTTAACTGAAAGTAATAGATTTCACATGTCAAGAGCTAAACCACGAAACTTAAAAAATCTGTGTCTTGAGGAAAATACTTCTCCTTGACAGCAAATGTTGCTTCCTCACTTTGTCTTTCATTCTTTTGTCCCTTGACTTGGTGATGATGCTTGAGCCAGGGACGTTGTGATTGCTAGGTCTTTGCTTAAACTGGCTTCAGAAATGACCTCATTAACCCTTGCCTCCCAACTCCCGCTTTCTGGCTTCTGCAGTAAGCCTCCGCTGCTATGTACCGCAGCTTATGAGTTCAGCGTTCGTTTTGATAATTTTGTCTTTCTTGTGTGTGTATGTGAGACAGAGTCTTACTCTTGTCGCATAGGCTAGAGTGTTGTGGCATCATAGCTCACTGAAACTTCAAGCCATCCTCCTGCCTCAGCCTCCCAAGTGGTTGGGACTACAGGTGCCTGCCACCACCACTCCTGTTTTAAATTTTTTGTAGAGGTAGGATCTCATGTTGCTCAGGCCGCTCTTAAACTCCTGGGCTTGAATGATCCTCGCACCTTAGCATCCCTAAGCGCTAGACACAAACATGTCTAAACAGAAAAATAAATGTTTTCATTTCCAGAAACACTTTTTTAAAAAATTTTTTACAGGCATGAGCTACCATGCCTGGCCTTAACAGTCTTTCAGAGCAGTTTAGATTTGCAGCAGTATTGAGCAAAAGGTACAGAGTTCCCATATTCCCCGCTTCCCTACTATCAGCATCCCCAGGAGAGTGGGACATTGGTTAGAAGTGATTAGCACGTCATCACTCAGGGCCTGTACTTTACTTTAGGGGTCATTCTTGGTATTACATATTTTATGGCTTGTGACAGATGTATTAAATGACATATACCCACCATTATGGTATCATCCAGAGTAGTGGTTTTTGTTTGTTTTGAGACAGTCTCAAGCTGTCACCCTCAGTAGACTGCCATGGCATCACAGCTCACAGCAACCTCAAATTCTTGGGCTTAAGCAATTCTCTTACCTCAGTACTCAGTTACTCCTGAGTAACTGGGACTACAGGTCCCTGCCACAACGCCCGGGTATTTTTTTGTTGTAGTTGTCATTTAGCAGGCCCAAGCCAGGTTCAAACTTGCCAGTCTGGGTGTATGTGGCCAGCGCCCTGCCCACAGAGCTATGGGCACCCCCATCCAGAGTACTGAGCTGTGGGCACCCCATCCAGAGTAGTTTTGCTGCCCTGAAATCATGTCACACCTGTTCATCTCTCCCCCAGACCTGATGATCGTTTTACTGTCTCCCCAGTTTTGTCTTTTCCCAGTTGTCACATAGTTGAGATTATATAGTTTATAGCCTTTTTAGATTTTAGATTTGGCTTCTTTCACTTAGTAATATGTACATGAGGCACCTCCTGTCTTGTCCTGACTTGAATTCTCATTTCTTTCTTGTACTGAATAATAATACTCCACTGTCTGGTTGCACCACAACTTATCCAGTCAACTGCTGAAGGACATCTTGATTGCTTTCAAGTTTTGGCAGTTTCAAATAAAACTGCTATAAACATCCATGTGCAGGTTTTTGTGTGAACATAAGGTCTCCTTTGGGTAAGTACCAAGGAGCATGATTACTGAATGTACGGTAGGAGTGTCTAGTTTTGTAAGAACCTGCCCAGCTGTCTCCCAAAGTATCTGTATAGCACAGCATTCTCACCAGCAGTAGATGAGTTCCTGTGGCTCCATATCCCCACCAGCATTTCGTGTAGTCGGTGTTCTGGATTTTGGCCATTCTGATAGGTGTATAGTGGCAGATTCTTTTTATTTTTTATTTTTTTGAGACAGGATCTTGTTCTATTGCCTGGGGTAGAGTACAGTGTCATCATAATAGTTAACTGCAATCTCTGATTCCTGGCCTTAAGTGACCCTCCCTCCATAGCTTCCCGAGTACTGGGACTGCAGGTGCACATTATGCCCAGCTGATTATTCTGTTGTAGATACTAGGTCTCACTATATTGCCCAGGCTGGTGTTGAACCTCAAGCAATCCTCCCACCTCAGCCTCCCAAAGTACTTCCTGGCATTACAGGCATGAGCCACCTTGCCTTGATTCAATGTTTTAAATTTTTTTTTTAATTTATGATTATGGTTTTTAAAAAAAGAATGTAAGTTACCATCTTGGTTCAGTGCCTGTAGTTCAGCGGCTAGGGCGCCAGCCACTTACACCAAGGCTGGTGGGTTCAAACCCAGCTGAGGCCTGCCAAATGGCAATGACAACTACAAAAAATAACCAGGCGTTGTGGCGGGCACCTGTAGCCCCAGCTATTTGGGAGGCTGAGGCAAGAGAATCGCTTAAGCCCAAGAATTTAAGGTTGCTATGAGTTGTGACACCAGGGTGACATAGTGAGACACTGTCTCAAAAAAAAAAGTTACCATCTTAACAGTTAATGGTGCTGAGTATATTCATGTTTTTGTGCAACAGTCTAGAACCTTTTCATCTTGCAAAAACCTACTCTGCTACAGGCTGTCCCAGCTCCTTCTCAACCTTTCGATCTGTTTCTAGAACGTAGTTAGCCCTTTGTAACCACAGTTTCCGCATCTGTTTAACTATGGGTGAAAAGCTGTAACTGAAAAAATAATACAAACCATATAGTATAATAACTATATTATTAGGCATTATAAGTAATCTGGAGATAATTTGAAATGTATAAGAGAATCCATAGTTTATATGTAAACTCTGCCATTTATGTAAGGGACCCGAGCATCCTTAGGGGTCCTGGAACCCACAGGATACCCAGAGATGACAACTCCACTGCCCATAACCCCTCACTCCCTGTGCCTGCTTGTCTAACTGCAGATGCCCTGCTACTGGAAGACCACCAACCAGGCATCCTGACCCAGGGTGCTGACTCCTCCCCTCAGCACTCAGTCAGGCCCACAGAAACCTGTCCCAGGAGCTGGGAATTGGGAAGTTTCTCCAGATGGACTGCTATGTAGGGGCGGGCAGGGCAACAAAGGCCAGCAGGATGCTTGAACTTTACTACCCTTCTGAGTACAGTCTCCTGGCTCTGGACCAGCTAGGTGCTACAGCTTCCTAATGGGTTTCTAGAATTCTCACATCTCCGACTGTTAACTCAGTCTCTCTGGAGATACGGGACCCTAGAGCTTCCTGGTCCAAGTGCTTCCCAACATATTTCCAAGCACTGTCCCACATGGAAATGGCCAGAAGGCCCCCATCAGTGCACAGGGCAGTACTGGGGGAGCACAGGCTGGATGTGTTTTTATAAAATATAAATCCCAGGAACTTCCATACTGGTCGGTAGAGCATGATGTCAAAACAGTATACAGCAGTTGCTCAGAGCATGTGTTAAGAACTCGCACTCTGTCCTGCTGTGTCATTTTGACCTCATTACATGATCTGGGAGCACGCAAAGTCTGAGCAGCAGAACCTGGTGTGTAAGTACATGATCAACAAAAGCCACAGTTGCAAAATGCCTGGAAAAGGCCACAGGCCACATTTCTGAACATTGCCTCACTCTGCCTGTTCTGAATTATAGCCCTGGGAAGCAGGAGGGCACTGCCTGCATCACAGGCCTGGACCTGACCTTCATGCCTCCATCAAGATAGATGCCTTGGGAGGGCCTGACACCCCACCTCCCCCAAAAAATCCAAAGGGAAATGTAATTTATCAAGAGCTACCATGTGACAAGCACACGTACCACCTTGATTCTCCAACAATCCAAAATAGAAAGATGTGCCACCTGGGACAGGAACTTTATCTCAGGCCAGATGGGAGGCTCCAGCGAAGTCTGACAGCCCTGGAGTATACATGTGTCTTGCCCCTCGTCTGTTGAGTGGCCTAAAAACTCAGCCTCCCACTCCCACATCCAGTCCTCAGCCAGGCTTGCAAAGCCCCAGGCTCCAGCCACCGTCCTCCCTCTGCCCATCACCCTACCTGCACAAGATGTCCCAGTGTTCCCTTGGTCCCACTGCCAGGGCCTTGGCCTGCAATGACTTACCAGTCTATGGTTTCTGCCAGCCAAAGCCATCCTCCAAGAAGTCTTCCCAGGAAATCCTGTTTCAGACTAAAGAAAGGTCCCCATGACCCACAAAGCACTGCTGTCTTGGCATGTTACCTATTGACCTTTCTAAATCTTGGCTATAAGCACGTTGGAGCAGAGGCACAACCCTTCTATTCCCACATCCCTGTGCACATCCCAGGACCAAGAACAACTGTGACATCCAGCCCTGAGTAGAGCATTCCCTCCAGGCCTCCCCTACCCCAGGAAGGCAATTGGGGAAGGCAGTGGGGTAAGGACCTCTGGACTTCACCCACACTTGCCCTACCCTGGCTCTGTACCCTCTGGCAGCACAGTCAACACAACATGTTGCCTCACAGCAGGGGCCAAAGGCCAGAGTCAGCTCTCTTCATAAAGGAAGAGCACAGACTGGGCTGGCACTCAGAGTGTGCCAGGAGGGTCCTACCCAGGTCTAGGTGCCTGGTGGGGTGGCAGCCAGGTTGTTACCACAGGAGCCCAGTGGACAGGCAGACATGGGGCTGCTGACAGGGGATGTGCTGACAACTCTGGCCTTGGCCATGACCGTCTTCCTGCTCCTGGTGGACCTGATGCACCGGCGCCCACGCTGGGCTGCACGCTACCCACCAGGCCCCATGCCACTGCCGGGACTGGGCAACCTGCTACAGGTGGACTTCCAGGACGTTCCTTACTGCTTCAGCAAGGTGAGGGAGGTGGTGGTGGAAGGTGGCAGGGGCCTGGGTCCTCCCAGCAGGAGACATGGGTGGTGAGCAAAGCCACCATCTGGGCAAGCACCCCCAGAAGAGGAAGCAGGTTGAAGTGGCTCCCTGAAGGACAGCATGGCCTTAGGGACAGTTTGAAATTTCCAAAGGCAAAAAAGCCTGGAGGTGAGGTGCGACTGGGCACTGGGTCTGCAAGCCTGTTGGACAATGCAGAAGTTATGGAAGGCCCAAGTCCCTTCTGATTACTCCAGAAGGAAAGGTCTGGGGAATGAGAGGAGGGTGAGGTTCACAAGGACCACTGAAATGAGGAAACTGAGGTTGAGAGAGGGCCGGTTCAAATGTCTTCTTGCTGTCAGTCCTTGGGTCTGGCTACTCACCTCGGTCTCCTCCTCTGTGAAATGGGAATGCTGCCCGGCACCGACTGTCAATTTTCATGACACAAGGTCATCCACAGCCGAGTTGTTGGACGCAAACTGAGTCCCTCAGCCATAGAGAATATGACCCCCAGCATCTGGAGTCCACGTCTTGCCCTTCAGTCATGTTTCTACTGGCAGTCTCAGGGTCACGAAAGCTTGTGCAGGGAGCCTGGGAAGGGCAGCGTGGGGATCCCAATCTTGACCCTCCCGCTGCAGCTGCAGCGCCGCTTTGGGGACGTGTACAGCCTGCAGCTGGGCTGGACACCGGTGGTCGTACTTAACGGGCTGGTGGCCGTGCGCGAGGCGCTGGTGAAGCACAACGAGGACACCGCGGACCGCCCGCCTGCACCAGTCTATGAGCACCTGGGCTTTGGACCTCGCTCCGAAGGTAAGTGTCCAGCCGGCGAGCAGACCGCGTGGGCGGAGCCCCACCGAGGGGCGGAGAGCAGCAGGGGCGGGGCCGAGGGCGGAGGTGGAGTCCAAGGGCCGCTAGTGGCAAACGGGCTCGGTGAGGGCGGGGCGGGGCAGGGCCAGCCGGCATCATCCCTGAGTGGAAAGGCGGTCAGGGTGGGCAGAGGTGGGTGGGCCACAAGGCCCAAGCAGAAGACAGACGGCAGGCGAACAAGGTAACAAGCCAAGAGCGGGACAGGGGGGAGGACAGACTCAGAGTGTGCGGCCGACGGCCCACCAAGACATCCAGGACAGAAGACACCGAGTGGGCGGGCCCAGGGCTGCCTGGCCACGCCCACACGCCGTCCCGGCGCAGGGGTGATCGTGGCCCGCTACGGCCCCGCGTGGCGCGAGCAGCGGCGCTTCTCCGTGTCCACTCTGCGCCTCTTCGGTCTGGGCAAGAAGTCTCTGGAGCAGTGGGTGACCGAGGAGGCCTCCTGCCTCTGTGCCGCCTTCGCTGACCACGCCGGTGGGTGGTGGGTGCAGAGGCAGGGAGAGGACCCGGGTGGTGGGGCTGGGCCGGAGGAGCCCCCCTGACCCATATCCCAACCCTAGGACGCCCCTTTAGCCCCAGCGAACTCCTTAACAAAGCGGTGACCAACGTGATCGCCTCGCTCGCCTATGGGCGTCGCTTTGAGTACAACAACACGCGCTTCCTCCGGCTGTTGACTTTGGCGCAGGAGGCAGTTCGGGAGGATTCTGGCTTCCTACGCGAGGTTCAGGGAGATGGGGGTCGCGGGTCTGAGCAGGGAGAGCTCCGGGCAGGTGCCTGGGCCTGCAGCTGGGCCTCTGTGAAGGAAGGTTTGCGCGCAGGACGATGAGAAAAGGGGATTGCTGGAGAGGCCACTCCAAGAGGAGAGGCACAGAGGCGGCGGGAAATCTCAGACAGCACTGTGGGAAAGGTGGGCCCAGAGTCACTGGAATATTCGAGCCAAGAATCTCAGGACATTTCAACTGTGGGTTTATCCTTGTGTCAGCCCAGGGCCAGGAGAGAGTGTAGGACTTCTACTCTGGGAGGGGCCCGGTCAATGGTGGGGTCATGCAGGCCTTGTGTCCACCCTGGGGGAGGCTAGGGTCTGAGACTGGTGCAGATGAATGCTGAGCACGTGGGAGACCCAGACCCCCTTCTGTGGCTGGCACAGGTACTGAATGCTGTCCCCATGCTCCTGCGCATCCCAGGGCTAGCTCAGAAGGTCTTCCCAGCACAGAAAGCATTCCTGGCTCTTGTAGATGAGCTGGTGACTGAGCACAGGATGACTCGGAACCCAGCCGAGCCACCTCGAGACCTGACAGATGCCTTCCTGGCCGAGGTGGAGAAGGTGAGGGGCACTGTCATGGATCAGACTGTCATGGCCTGAGGGTCCCCTGACAAATGGGTCCAGGCTAGGCAGGGTGGGGCTGGTTCACCATCCCTGAGCTGGCCCATGGGTGACAGGTGCAAAATGGAGGGTCATTTGGGGCTTCCTCTTCTATCCCCCACCCTCTTTGCCTGGTCA